TTTTACAATAACTGTCTAATTTCTCACGTGCTGATTGGCTCATTTTTATCATCAATAAGAGTACAGACGGATAAAATTTTAACTTATGCAAGCTGTCAAACTGTCAACTTTTTAACCAATGAGATTTTATGGTCTTTTTTAAGGAGCTAATCAAAAAGCGAGGAAAGCTATTGACAACGTTCGCATCACTTTGAATAAAATTCACTTATCTTTGTTTACGGCAAGTTTACGGCATTTTTTCCCCTCTTTTATCCCTGGCATTTGACCATTTTGGGGTCTTGTTGCTGTAAAAAAACAAATTGACGTCAGTTTTTTATGCGTCTGTCCTCTTATTGATGATAAATTTCATCATAGCATTGTCAAAGTTTACTGAAGAACCACTCGCCTGCAGCTCGTGGTTCCACGGCCACTTTGACAATGTTATGACGCAATTTATCATCAATAAGAGGACAGACGCATAAAAAGCTGACGTCAATTTGTTAAATTGAATAAAGGCATTGTGATATAAAAGTATGAGAATTTTTGGAATTTAGTTGAATAATTCTTGCAATATTGACTCTGCATTATCTATGAATCGTTTGGGTGCCATAATCCTCATATTTCATCAGTATAATTGTTTATCAAGTGATAGTATCTAAAGTTTGCAATTTCTAAACAGCACAGAACTTCAATTTTCACAAAGTTTTTACTGTGTATGTGTGAAATGCACTTACAAACTATATTGTGACATGTTGCCCATGTTTCAAGTAGGAGGTATAACTACAAAAAGGGTTCATTTGCCTTGTTCTGTGGAGGCATGATTTTTTGGTGTATATCCGGATTTATGTGCAGGAGTGTTCTTGCACAAACAAATCCGTATGTCTTTGAGCGAGAGAAAACAAATATTACTTTTCAGAAGCCTTATCATCTCTGTCTCTGTTTTCCCATCAGAGCAAACAATTTTTTATTTACTCCCATTAAGGCTAGCTTCCTACACAGATAGAAGGCTAATTTAAGATGGCTCAAAAAACAGTACCCAGCACTTTCCAAGACTTAGATTTTGATTGGTCGTTGTAACCACTCTATATCAATTTAATTTATTGATGCTGCAATCATGGTAGCCCAATCATTGGTGAACACGTTCTTATAATTTTCGTGACACAATAGGTTACCACAGCAACAGTATGACCTGCTAAAAACACCCTTAATTATAGCTTCAGGGGCTAATAATTCAAATACACGGTGAAATTTTTTTTATGTTATCAAATTTTGATTAGCAGGGAAAGATGCAGTTTTTGGGCAAGTGGGTGTAATTTTTCTGCTTTGTGCTGAAAAGGTTGGGTGCTAGCTGATTGAGACTCGATCAATCGATCATCGATTGACCAATACCAATGGACTTATTTTATTAATAGACCATTTTCAATCTATCAAGCTGAATTGGAATATATTGAAAGTAGCCTTTTACGATAACTGGAGGAATTCTTGCACACTCATTGGCTAATTTTCGTTGTCAATTTAACAAATTGACATCAGTTTTTGATGCGTCTGACCTCTTGATAAAAAAGTGCATCATAACATCGTCAAAAAAGCTGTGGAACCACGAGTCGTAGGCAAGTGGTTCCGCAGTAAAAATGATGCAAACATTGTCAATAGCTTTTCTTGCTTTTTGAAAGTCCCTAAAATCTCATTGGTTAAAAAGTTGACAGTTTGACAGCTGGAAATTGAACTTGAAAGCTTGCATAAATTAAAATTTTATCTGTCTGTACTCTTACTGATGATAAAAATGAGCCAATCAGGGCACGAGAAATTAGACAGTTATTGTTGAAAAGAGGACAGACCATGAATTCATAATTTATGCAATGTGTCAAAGAGTGCGAGTGGACAATTTGACAATTTGTTATCGAAAAAACAAATTGAAGTCAGTTTTTCGTGCGTCTGTCTTGTTATTGATAATGAATTTCATTATAACATTATCAAAGTAGTCTGCTAATCCTGGCTGAGCTATCACCTCGTGGATCCACAGCTACTTTGACAATGTTATGACGAAATTCATGATCAATAATGGGACAGACGCATGAAAAACTGATAGATTGCTTTCCTGATCATAGGTTTCCATCGATTGGACACCCCACCCCGGGTCTCTCAGTAGCAGGAGGTTTTGCACCCCAATCCAGTTCATCCCGTCCAAGTTGGAAAAAAAACATAGACTTTTGACACTTTCTCTTCATTCTCACTCTTCATGAATGCAGTGGCCGCTCACTCTCGGTGCGATGGGTGCTAACCCAGGGGATACTCCCAGAAGAATTTGGTGGGGGTGTGCAGCCCGCTTCCCAAAACCCTTACCCTATTTGTGACCAAAATCTGCGATTTTTCCTACCCTATTTATGACCAGACCAAAAATTTGATACCCTGTTTATGACCGTTGCATCTGACAACCCAGTTGCCCTAAACAATTTTTGAAGGGCTTTTGTTTATGGTCTTGTCGACAATGATGAAAAAGTAGCTTCCACTACAAAACAGACCCAATTCAAGACTAGAGTACAAAACCATACCCTATTTAAGACCACAATGGCCAAATCGATACCCTGTTTATGACCAAAACGGCTGAAAACCATACCCTTTGGGGCCGCACATACCTATATAGCCCATATAAGGGAGTAACCCCCCCGGGCCTGTGGTTCCCTATCAGCCTTAGCTTTGCAACCTTACTACCCCGCCCTGAAGTAAAGCGTACGGCATGACTTTGTCATTGACATTTAAAGCAAGTGTCAAGATTGGACATCCACTCGATCCCTTCGCTTTGCTCCAACCCTGGGGTGCTTGCCATTCAGTTAGCTCAAAAATTCGGAAATTTCAAATAAACAGTAACATCCCGGAAAATCAGCTCGGAAATTACGGACTACCTCCAGAGGAACTCCTCTTTTTATCTCTTTAGACTGGAACGTCAGAAATTTCTTTACCATTTGCTCGTCTCTTCAGTCTTTCCTCAAGAGAAAACAATAACTGAGTACCGCATTGTAAATTGTCAGGCCCATCTCTTTTGGCTTGTTCACTGATGTTAGAAAAAAACGTGACCTTAACGGTCATCGCACGGGATTCAAATAGTAAACACCTTCAATTTAAGACTCGACATTTGCGACAAGTTCTCGGCATTTCAACCCCTCCCTGTTTTCTTTTCTCTGTCGCGAAAGTGATCTTTTTCCATCTATGTATAAAGGAAATGGGAAACATCCATGCATAGGCGACCTTCTCGCCTCTTTGGTCATGTTCTCACCCTGTATAAACGTTTTAAAGCACCCCAAATTGAAGCGACCCTGGGTTTCGACTGATCATGACGGAAAAAAATATTTCTAATATATATTTAAGTAGGGTTGTCTTGAAAAAAAAAAACGTACAAATGTCGGATAGGGCAAGGAAACGTTGCATTCCTCGAAATTAGGGTGCCTTAAGTTCAAGGGCAATGAAAGGGTCCTTTTAAAACCAAGTTTGTATTACACTTCACTTGTCTAAGAGACAACACATTCTGGTCCATCTCCCGATACTGCAAGAGTTGAAAACATCTACTCAAGACACAAGAACGGGGAAGTTTTGCAACGGTTTCTCTTCTTCCCGTTTTGTTTCTAACGAAGAAATCAAGTGAAACCACTTGATTTGCTGGCAGGTGAAGGTCCTGGCTTACGAAACAGAGACAGCATATTAGGTTAAATTTTTTTATTTCATAAATCCTAACTACGTTAACCTGGCTCAGAGTTTTACGTAAAAGTTAACGCGGAATCTAATTGTAAAGGCAATCCTCTAAAAGTCGTACATGCTATTAAGAGTTCTTTAACTCAATTCGTTTAAATTACAGTAGTCTATTAATCGAAAAAAAAAATTACTTCCTTGTTTCGTTCACTAGTGGCGCAACACGAAATGGCGCTAAATCGTTCCCAGACTTCTTCCCATCCCCTGGAGCGAGAAAAGAAGAGAAATCCTGGCAACGAGGTCAGAACAGGCGCTCCCCACTGGACCATATATAGACTTGAATGTCAGTTACATCCTCGAGGCACAAAACCAGATGTTTCATACGAACGACTACGTTTGCATAACGAAAAAAAAAACCAACCAAGTTGCACCTTTTATCTCGACAAAATCTTTTCCAGTTCGTCTACAGAGTTCACCGGTAGGGAACAAGTATAGTCCTTGCAGACGTATGCTGTGGCTTTGCCCTCCTTCCGTTCCAGCGTCTTGAAAACAGGCAGCTTAGAAGCGAGGAAACTATCTTGGTTGCCATCACATAGCATGAGCACTTTGTTTGGCATGTAGTGCGAATGAACACACTTTAGAAGATCCTTAGTGTCCGCTGAGTCCCGGTCACCAGCGATAATGATCTGAAAATGGAGGATTTCTGTTAGACAAACACAAATGTTTTTCAAGCTGTGACATGTACAGAGCTTGAACCGACGGGTATTAGCAGAGTAAAATTATGATGACTTCAAGGCAACCCGCATCACCATAGTCCACGTCCCGTTCTGGCCCACTTTCTGTCACGCAACTCACACGCACTTAGCTGGATACAAAAACACCCTTCTCTATCACCCAGGGTCTCCACCCTTCATAACGAGGAATCACGAGCGAAGATACTGGAAATCAGACTTTATTTCCGTTACCTTTCTAGCCTGCGTAGCAGGCGGTTTAGTTAGTTGGTTGGAGAAGATGACTGAAAAGAGCGTGATCCGTGAAAAAGTGGCCTGGAAGGAAAAATGGCTCATCGCCGTTGCTCAATCGCGCGTTCTATCCCAACTAAACCACCAGCTACGCTTGCTATTAACTTTCCCGGTCGTATGAACGACCCCTTTCCCAAAATACCGAAAAAAATCACCCAATCACTTCTTTGAACTCAGTTTCTTTGTTTGGTATCGCACTGAGATTTGTGAGAAGAGAAAACGAAAATTATTGATGACCCGATTTGGAATAATTCGTGTGAACTGCACATTTAGTGTCGCGAAATATCTCCCTTCAAATATAGACAGATGAGTTTCTTGCACAAAAAAAGTACCAACAGTAATCAAAATGTACACCGGAATGCTTTACCTGTTTTTTGGGATGAAGGTACATGATATAGTTTGAAACCAACTCGGGCAGTGCAAGAGGAAGCTTGGACAAAAGGGTTACGGAGGCCTTGATAATCTCCTCTGCCCGTGTGAAATATTCCTTCTGGTCAGTGTAGCTGGATAATCTTATTAAGTTACCGACGGATGACGAGTTAGCGCTAGGCTCCGCACCATCTTGAGCTACAAAAGAAACAACGCTTGTCAGTGTTCTACTGTTACCAAAGTCGAAAAACAACCTCAATCTCAGGCTCTCTCTACTTTGCCTGAGAAGGGAGGTAATTGGTAAAGGAGAGAGAACCTGGGATCGAGGCTGGTCTAGAAATATCTTCTTAAAAATTCTTGTTCAGATTGAAGAAAGCTCGGTTATAAAAGTTGAAACCAAGCAACATTGGTAAAATTAATGTAGACCTGATCTCGACAAAACCCAGGGCCGAATAAGAAAATGAGGCTAAATAAAGTTTACTGGGACAGTAATGGGTTGTGATATGGACGAACTTGTAAACTGAGGCTCATATTTCCCAATATGGCTGGGATTCATTTTACATTTTGCGACGTTTGTCACAGTATTGATTGAGATAATACCTGAGGAAAACCCATGTAGCACAGCATATCAAGTCAACGACTATGTTTAACTTGCATTCAAAGTTAATTTTCCGACTTATTAATGAGGTTAACAATCGCAATGTTGCAATACTTTTTAACTCCAGTATACACAGCCTCCGTACCTATTTCCATTGTACAGAAAATATCTGGCTCTCGATAAGGTGGATAAAATTCGTGTCCAATCTTACCAGTCAAATCAAACGTCGCTAAGAGGTCGTCACCGACAAAATCGATAAGAATTGGAGTAAAAATTTGTACTTGTGTTGTTGTTTAACTCGATTGCCTTTTTTTAATCGTTCAATACGATTTGTCATAAAATGACACTCGTTCGTCCAACTATGACAAGCAAACAAAACTCTCTCCTAACCTTCTTTCATCCTGACAAGAATGGAAGGATCATCAGGGGTCGCCATGAAGTACCCTGCCCCAGTACTGTCCCAAAACAGTTCATCTAGCTTGGCCTGTAGCTCCACGGCCCATCGTAACCACTGCTCGTCCAGGGATGCTTCATACAGGTCCAACAATCCGCGAATCATGAACACGTAGTCGTCAGCAAATCCGAAAATAGGTGCGTCGCTAAAAGGAAAAGAGAGAAAAAAGAAGAAAATTGAGGCTACTAAGCAGTAATCTCACGAGGTACTGTTTATTACGCTGTACAGGATGGATGAAACCCTCGTGCGTTACCATTCAAATGAAAGCTACTGAGCAGTACTGTCAAAAGGTATTGCTTATTATGCTGTACAAGATAAATGAATCCTAGCCTGCAAGCAGGCTCATCTTTGAGTCAAGCGCGCGAGCGGCGAAGAGCAAAGCGATGCGGCGGGAAGGAGTCTGGTGAAGAGGTGCCTCGCGGCTTCGCCGCTCGATTTCGAGCCCGCGGCTACGCCGCGTGCTCTTGCTCCAACGTGAGCCTGCTCGCAGGCTAAATGAAACCCTAGTGCGTGACCATTCAAATGAAAGTACTGTCACAAGGTACTGTTTATTATGCTTTGCAAGGTAGATGAAACCCTAGTGCGTGACCATCCAAGTGAAAGCTACTGAGCGGGACTATACAGTACGGTACGGTACTGAGAAATAAGGGTGAAAATATCATTTCAAAACAAACCAAGAAAGGGACATGAACAACTCCTACATTTTCTAGGCACTTACATCTGCATCACCTCGCCACTTTCCCCTCGGTAGCAACTGCGCAAGAGTTTTCCAGATTTCTCGTCAAACAAGTGTTTCCTCACAAACTCGGCTGCTTTAGCTGCTCTTTTCTCGTACACATCTTCACCAAGAACTTGAGCCGCCCGAGCCAAACCAGAAATCATTAGACCTGGAAAAACACGGGACAATTTCAATTTGACAGCAATCGAGTTACAGAGGAGTAAAAACCCGCTCCAGCTCCATCGTTTGGATTCTCTGTGATGAATCTAAAGCTGAACGCCAAATTTATTTTCTTGCACCAAAAAATAAAACAAATGTAGGTACTTTGGTCCTCTCCATGAGAATCAGTACAACAACAAATAACGCAATGAAAAGCGCGGGAAAATATACGTAAAAAAGTTCTAGTTGGTTGGGCTTTGCATCTGATCGGTTGAGAAGACAACAATTTCCTTTGATTGATTACTGCGCTGCACGTGATTTATGAATGCTTGCTTTGGTTTCGCATACGTGCTACACCTAGTTAGAGTGAACTTGTTGAGATTTCAACCAACCAGGAGCAAGATCAAAACCAACCAGTTGGCTTCGCTTACGCGCGTTTTCCCGCACTTGGCACCTGCTTAATGATTTTGCTTCGTCATCTGATTGGTTCATTCGCTAGTTATCATTTTGTATTTCGTTAGATCTACACATGACAGCAGCTCTGAATACATTCAAAAGTTAATAGAAGAGTTCCTACCGTTCCAAGCTGTGATCATCTTAGTATCCAAGTGAGGTGGTGGTCTGTTTCGTCGCTCTTCAAACAGGATTTCCCGAGCTCGAGCTAGCTGCTCCTTTGCTTCTGCTTCATCCACATCACTCAGTCGAGCTGTCTCTTGTAAGCTGCCTCGCACTATGAGGACATTCTTGCCTCGAAGTTCCCTGTGAGGGTCCTGCAAGAAAACAAAAGGACAGCAGATTACTGAAGTGCTACAGAAATTCCACGCTGCAACAAGGTTTTTACAACATTAGAATTTCAAACGACTTCTAGTTTGTCCAGAGTGTAATCAGTTTAGAACCTCGCCATGGATATCTATCCTCACTTCATAATGTGTTGCTACTGACTCGTCTCCACTCGTCTCCATACAACTTCATAAGGCGCGTGGCACGGGACGAGGTCGGAACGCAGGGTGAGATCGGTAGGAAAAAAGCCACCCCTTGCTGCTCCCCAACCTTGCCCCGTGCCGCGTGTTGTATGAAGACGACTGGGGACGAGTCAGGTGTTGCTATCATTTCCCGAATACTGTTCTCATTAGACACAAAAGTCAAATTAAAGTATGATTGTGGGTTCCCGTAAAATAAAGTTTCTCGAAATCAAATTTAAATACACACCACGGGTTGCTACTTCACATAGGGTTCACCCCATTGCACCGTTTCCCCTTGAACAGAATTGTCCAAGAAAAATTGCTGTCTATGTCTACGCCTACCACCATTGGTTCTTCACAGAAAGACATGCTAGCAGCGAAAAGATCGCGTGATGAGCCATAAGGGGGTCTGGGTAGGAGGAAGCTACATGTTTCCAACCGGTCTTACTGGTTTTACCTGATGAGCTTTGACATTGCCCTCATTCTCCACCCCATAATGCTTTAAGACCAGGTACAACACAGGGACGCTCTCGCCAGATTTCGTTGTGACTCGTTCTTCTTGCAGCAGCTTTCTAATCTCTTCCTCCTCCCACACGCAGAAGGCTCCCTCTTTCTTGTGAGTGTCTGTTTCGCTCGGCAAGGAATCGGCATCTTCAGCAGAAAAGAAACCACCAGCCTGAAAAAAAAAGGGGGAAAATGATTATCATAATAAATTTCTCTCTAAGAGTTTGTGTTTACAAACAAATCAGTCGTGCGTATGTGCGCATAAAACTCTCGCAGGACGCGCAAACACAGGGCCCATCGCGTCCTTAGGACGCGCGGATTTAAGTTTAACTCGAATGAAATAAAATACCAGAAGATGATATGAAAGAAAAAATACGCTACCAAATTGTACAAAAACAATCTTACCCTAAAAGGTCTTAACTTCAATCAAAGAAAAGGAAAGTGAGTGGTTGAAGACACTCATCAATAAATTTGAATAAACATACGAATGATTTAACATGGCCAAATTGGATCAGTACCAGACTTCCTCTCTTTCTCTATCCTGTGAGAGTTACAATGTGAAAGAGTTAAGATGAAAAATGGCGCCAAAAAGACTTATATTCTAAGACAGTCAATATATATGAGGATGCTTAAAATTGTGCAGGACCCCTAAAAGTTTGAAGCTGAGGGGCCCAGGACGCTTCCTTTGGAAAACTGGCCGAGTGCCAACACTGTTCTCTCAACATGCGAATTATGTGAAACATGACAATCGCAGTTTCCTTTACCTTGTGGCTTAAATCACGCATAACATACAACAATATGTCTCGGGTAGTTTCTGCAAAGTTCTCGTTTTTGCTGGCCTGAAAAAAAGACCATGAATATTAATTAAGTCAAAAATGGCCTAGTTGTAATCAGGCACATTTGTGATATAGCATAGCCTGGGTTGACACTGGTCAAAAATTATTCTTCCCTACAACGTATCAGTCCCTTTAGTCCATGCATGTATGAGTTGATGCTTTGTTCATTCACCGATCAGCACGTGCTTTCAAGACCAGAACAAATGAACATTCAAAGGTCGTCACCTCCTCTGATAAAAATTCCCTTCTGGCCCAACACCCCTAGCAGGAGCGACTTTCACAATTTAGCCATTTTCGACGCCTGTTCCCAGTTGTTTTTAAAAGCGTGGCATTCCATCAAAGACAAGAACTTTATCGACGAACATAAAGATTCCCATGTTTATCATAACCTCAAGAAATTCTAGAATTTTTAATCATTTATTAACNAAAAAAAAAATTACTTCCTTGTTTCGTTCACTAGTGGCGCAACACGAAATGGCGCTAAATCGTTCCCAGACTTCTTCCCATCCCCTGGAGCGAGAAAAGAAGAGAAATCCTGGCAACGAGGTCAGAACAGGCGCTCCCCACTGGACCATATATAGACTTGAATGTCAGTTACATCCTCGAGGCACAAAACCAGATGTTTCATACGAACGACTACGTTTGCATAACGAAAAAAAAAACCAACCAAGTTGCACCTTTTATCTCGACAAAATCTTTTCCAGTTCGTCTACAGAGTTCACCGGTAGGGAACAAGTATAGTCCTTGCAGACGTATGCTGTGGCTTTGCCCTCCTTCCGTTCCAGCGTCTTGAAAACAGGCAGCTTAGAAGCGAGGAAACTATCTTGGTTGCCATCACATAGCATGAGCACTTTGTTTGGCATGTAGTGCGAATGAACACACTTTAGAAGATCCTTAGTGTCCGCTGAGTCCCGGTCACCAGCGATAATGATCTGAAAATGGAGGATTTCTGTTAGACAAACACAAATGTTTTTCAAGCTGTGACATGTACAGAGCTTGAACCGACGGGTATTAGCAGAGTAAAATTATGATGACTTCAAGGCAACCCGCATCACCATAGTCCACGTCCCGTTCTGGCCCACTTTCTGTCACGCAACTCACACGCACTTAGCTGGATACAAAAACACCCTTCTCTATCACCCAGGGTCTCCACCCTTCATAACGAGGAATCACGAGCGAAGATACTGGAAATCAGACTTTATTTCCGTTACCTTTCTAGCCTGCGTAGCAGGCGGTTTAGTTAGTTGGTTGGAGAAGATGACTGAAAAGAGCGTGATCCGTGAAAAAGTGGCCTGGAAGGAAAAATGGCTCATCGCCGTTGCTCAATCGCGCGTTCTATCCCAACTAAACCACCAGCTACGCTTGCTATTAACTTTCCCGGTCGTATGAACGACCCCTTTCCCAAAATACCGAAAAAAATCACCCAATCACTTCTTTGAACTCAGTTTCTTTGTTTGGTATCGCACTGAGATTTGTGAGAAGAGAAAACGAAAATTATTGATGACCCGATTTGGAATAATTCGTGTGAACTGCACATTTAGTGTCGCGAAATATCTCCCTTCAAATATAGACAGATGAGTTTCTTGCACAAAAAAAGTACCAACAGTAATCAAAATGTACACCGGAATGCTTTACCTGTTTTTTGGGATGAAGGTACATGATATAGTTTGAAACCAACTCGGGCAGTGCAAGAGGAAGCTTGGACAAAAGGGTTACGGAGGCCTTGATAATCTCCTCTGCCCGTGTGAAATATTCCTTCTGGTCAGTGTAGCTGGATAATCTTATTAAGTTACCGACGGATGACGAGTTAGCGCTAGGCTCCGCACCATCTTGAGCTACAAAAGAAACAACGCTTGTCAGTGTTCTACTGTTACCAAAGTCGAAAAACAACCTCGATCTCAGGCTCTCTCTACTTTGCCTGAGAAGGGAGGTAATTGGTAAAGGAGAGAGAACCTGGGATCGAGGCCGGTCTAGAAATATCTTCTTAAAAATTCTTGTTCAGATTGAAGAAAGCTCGGTTATAAAAGTTGAAACCTAGCAACATTGGTAAAATTAATGTAGACCTGATCTCGACAAAACCCAGGGCCGAATAAGAATATGAGGCTAAATAAAGTTTACTGGGACAGTAATGGGTTGTGATATGGACGAACTTGTAAACTGAGGCTCATACTTCCCAATATGGCTGGGATTCATTTTACATTTTGCGACGTTTGTCACAGTATTGATTGAGATAATACCTGAGGAAAACCCATGTAGCACAGCATATCAAGTCAACGACTATGTTTAACTTGCATTCAAAGTTAATTTTCCGACTTATTAATGAGGTTAACAATCGCAATGTTGCAATACTTTTTAACTCCAGTATACACAGCCTCCGTACCTATTTCCATTGTACAGAAAATATCTGGCTCTCGATAAGGTGGATAAAATTCGTGTCCAATCTTACCAGTCAAATCAAACGTCGCTAAGAGGTCGTCACCGACAAAATCGATAAGAATTGGAGTAAAAATTTGTACTTGTGTTGTTGTTTAACTCGATTGCCTTTTTTTAATCGTTCAATACGATTTGTCATAAAATGACACTCGTTCGTCCAACTATGACAAGCAAACAAAACTCTCTCCTAACCTTCTTTCATCCTGACAAGAATGGAAGGATCATCAGGGGTCGCCATGAAGTACCCTGCCCCAGTACTGTCCCAAAACAGTTCATCTAGCTTGGCCTGTAGCTCCACGGCCCATCGTAACCACTGCTCGTCCAGGGATGCTTCATACAGGTCCAACAATCCGCGAATCATGAACACGTAGTCGTCAGCAAATCCGAAAATAGGTGCGTCGCTAAAAGGAAAAGAGAGAAAAAAGAAGAAAATTGAGGCTACTAAGCAGTAATCTCACGAGGTACTGTTTATTACGCTGTACAGGATGGATGAAACCCTCGTGCGTTACCATTCAAATGAAAGCTACTGAGCAGTACTGTCAAAAGGTATTGCTTATTATGCTGTACAAGATAAATGAATCCTAGCCTGCAAGCAGGCTCATCTTTGAGTCAAGCGCGCGAGCGGCGAAGAGCAAAGCGATGCGGCGGGAAGGAGTCTGGTGAAGAGGTGCCTCGCGGCTTCGCCGCTCGATTTCGAGCCCGCGGCTACGCCGCGTGCTCTTGCTCCAACGTGAGCCTGCTCGCAGGCTAAATGAAACCCTAGTGCGTGACCATTCAAATGAAAGTACTGTCACAAGGTACTGTTTATTATGCTTTGCAAGGTAGATGAAACCCTAGTGCGTGACCATCCAAGTGAAAGCTACTGAGCGGGACTATACAGTACGGTACGGTACTGAGAAATAAGGGTGAAAATATCATTTCAAAACAAACCAAGAAAGGGACATGAACAACTCCTACATTTTCTAGGCACTTACATCTGCATCACCTCGCCACTTTCCCCTCGGTAGCAACTGCGCAAGAGTTTTCCAGATTTCTCGTCAAACAAGTGTTTCCTCACAAACTCGGCTGCTTTAGCTGCTCTTTTCTCGTACACATCTTCACCAAGAACTTGAGCCGCCCGAGCCAAACCAGAAATCATTAGACCTGGAAAAACACGGGACAATTTCAATTTGACAGCAATCGAGTTACAGAGGAGTAAAAACCCGCTCCAGCTCCATCGTTTGGATTCTCTGTGATGAATCTAAAGCTGAACGCCAAATTTATTTTCTTGCACCAAAAAATAAAACAAATGTAGGTACTTTGGTCCTCTCCATGAGAATCAGTACAACAACAAATAACGCAATGAAAAGCGCGGGAAAATATACGTAAAAAAGTTCTAGTTGGTTGGGCTTTGCATCTGATCGGTTGAGAAGACAACAATTTCCTTTGATTGATTACTGCGCTGCACGTGATTTATGAATGCTTGCTTTGGTTTCGCATACGTGCTACACCTAGTTAGAGTGAACTTGTTGAGATTTCAACCAACCAGGAGCAAGATCAAAACCAACCAGTTGGCTTCGCTTACGCGCGTTTTCCCGCACTTGGCACCTGCTTAATGATTTTGCTTCGTCATCTGATTGGTTCATTCGCTAGTTATCATTTTGTATTTCGTTAGATCTACACATGACAGCAGCTCTGAATACATTCAAAAGTTAATAGAAGAGTTCCTACCGTTCCAAGCTGTGATCATCTTAGTATCCAAGTGAGGTGGTGGTCTGTTTCGTCGCTCTTCAAACAGGATTTCCCGAGCTCGAGCTAGCTGCTCCTTTGCTTCTGCTTCATCCACATCACTCAGTCGAGCTGTCTCTTGTAAGCTGCCTCGCACTATGAGGACATTCTTGCCTCGAAGTTCCCTGTGAGGGTCCTGCAAGAAAACAAAAGGACAGCAGATTACTGAAGTGCTACAGAAATTCCACGCTGCAACAAGGTTTTTACAACATTAGAATTTCAAACGACTTCTAGTTTGTCCAGAGTGTAATCAGTTTAGAACCTCGCCATGGATATCTATCCTCACTTCATAATGTGTTGCTACTGACTCGTCTCCACTCGTCTCCATACAACTTCATAAGGCGCGTGGCACGGGACGAGGTCGGAACGCAGGGTGAGATCGGTAGGAAAAAAGCCACCCCTTGCTGCTCCCCAACCTTGCCCCGTGCCGCGTGTTGTATGAAGACGACTGGGGACGAGTCAGGTGTTGCTATCATTTCCCGAATACTGTTCTCATTAGACACAAAAGTCAAATTAAAGTATGATTGTGGGTTCCCGTAAAATAAAGTTTCTCGAAATCAAATTTAAATACACACCACGGGTTGCTACTTCACATAGGGTTCACCCCATTGCACCGTTTCCCCTTGAACAGAATTGTCCAAGAAAAATTGCTGTCTATGTCTACGCCTACCACCATTGGTTCTTCACAGAAAGACATGCTAGCAGCGAAAAGATCGCGTGATGAGCCATAAGGGGGTCTGGGTAGGAGGAAGCTACATGTTTCCAACCGGTCTTACTGGTTTTACCTGATGAGCTTTGACATTGCCCTCATTCTCCACCCCATAATGCTTTAAGACCAGGTACAACACAGGGACGCTCTCGCCAGATTTCGTTGTGACTCGTTCTTCTTGCAGCAGCTTTCTAATCTCTTCCTCCTCCCACACGCAGAAGGCTCCCTCTTTCTTGTGAGTGTCTGTTTCGCTCGGCAAGGAATCGGCATCTTCAGCAGAAAAGAAACCACCAGCCTGAAAAAAAAAGGGGGAAAATGATTATCATAATAAATTTCTCTCTAAGAGTTTGTGTTTACAAACAAATCAGTCGTGCGTATGTGCGCATAAAACTCTCGCAGGACGCGCAAACACAGGGCCCATCGCGTCCTTAGGACGCGCGGATTTAAGTTTAACTCGAATGAAATAAAATACCAGAAGATGATATGAAAGAAAAAATACGCTACCAAATTGTACAAAAACAATCTTACCCTAAAAGGTCTTAACTTCAATCAAAGAAAAGGAAAGTGAGTGGTTGAAGACACTCATCAATAAATTTGAATAAACATACGAATGATTTAACATGGCCAAATTGGATCAGTACCAGACTTCCTCTCTTTCTCTATCCTGTGAGAGTTACAATGTGAAAGAGTTAAGATGAAAAATGGCGCCAAAAAGACTTATATTCTAAGACAGTCAATATATATGAGGATGCTTAAAATTGTGCAGGACCCCTAAAAGTTTGAAGCTGAGGGGCCCAGGACGCTTCCTTTGGAAAACTGGCCGAGTGCCAACACTGTTCTCTCAACATGCGAATTATGTGAAACATGACAATCGCAGTTTCCTTTACCTTGTGGCTTAAATCACGCATAACATACAACAATATGTCTCGGGTAGTTTCTGCAAAGTTCTCGTTTTTGCTGGCCTGAAAAAAAGACCATGAATATTAATTAAGTCAAAAATGGCCTAGTTGTAATCAGGCACATTTGTGATATAGCATAGCCTGGGTTGACACTGGTCAAAAATTATTCTTCCCTACAACGTATCAGTCCCTTTAGTCCATGCATGTATGAGTTGATGCTTTGTTCATTCACCGATCAGCACGTGCTTTCAAGACCAGAACAAATGAACATTCAAAGGTCGTCACCTCCTCTGATAAAAATTCCCTTCTGGCCCAACACCCCTAGCAGGAGCGACTTTCACAATTTAGCCATTTTCGACGCCTGTTCCCAGTTGTTTTTAAAAGCGTGGCATTCCATCAAAGACAAGAACTTTATCGACGAACATAAAGATTCCCATGTTTATCATAACCTCAAGAAATTCTAGAATTTTTAATCATTTATTAACTTTTACTGACCATAATCATGTTTGATCAGTGTCAACTAAGGTACATGTAGAATCAAGTCTGGTCAAGCATTCCCCCTGACAATCATAAATTCAGTGACGAAAAATTCATTTCTTTTCTTTTCAAACTTTACTTCACTCTTCAAGTGACCATATCAATATTCAAAATCACTCTCAGACCTATCAGACTCAATTCAAACTTGACTGTTGTTTTCCCTGCTAATAGAGCGACAATATTTTTTTGTTTCTCTTCACCGCATAGCTGAAGGCCTCCCAGGGTGAGGGGGAGGGGGTAGCACGTCAACAGTTCCCTTAATCCCTTGAAAACCCTTGTTCCCTTTTAATAAATTCCATAGTTCCCTAAATTTTTCATCAAAGTTTCCTTTGACCTCATATTAATCTAACAATGTATCTCTTGTCCCTTGAAATCAATGATCATGTTTTCCTGTTCCCCAAAACCCCAGGGAAGTCTTCATAACTTTTCATAAGCCCTCATGCACTGCTTCTTTTTTTTGTTTGTTTGTTTTTTTTTATTTCATCAAGAAAGGGCTTACTGACTGAGTTTTTCTTACCTGGTACCCATCAGCATACAGGGCAGCCAGTTGTGCCTGATCATACAACATCTTCTCAAAATGAGGTACATGCCAGAAACGATCCGTTGAATACCTGTGAAATCCCTAACAAACATATGAATCAATTGTCTCTATTGTGTAAAAACCTATATCATGAAATACAGTCAAGCTTCCTTAATAAAGTAACAAGTGCTTGTCTTTCTGTCCACCCCATGCTGATGCAGGTTTGATTTCTAAACATCTTCCAGAATTTAACCTTAAAATCCATCTTGATTTCTTCCAACCATTAAAATTCCAATTTTATAAATAGGAAAATGACTGACTGAGCTTTTGTTTGGGCCAGAATAAAGTGGCTGCAATAACAAGGTGGCCATAAGGTGGGGTTCCACTGTAATCCTAAAATTAATAAATATTAAGTATTTTATTTTGAGTTGCCTCAAAATAAAATTGCTTTCCAGATTATGACCTGATTTGGTTTATCACCCTGGAAAAGGGAAAATGAGCTTATTGAAATGTTCAAAATGGGGCATATTTAAAAGGGAGTAATTTTTCAATGCTAACCTGTCCAACATGATCATGTATTCCACCTTTCTCCATGAATTCCAGCGTCTTTACCACCATACCAAGTGCTTTCTTACCATCTTCAGTATCAGACTTATAAGAATAGTACCGCAACAGAAAGTTAAAATTTGCTGCAAAGGAAATGAAATTTTAGGTCACTCATTTGTAAGCTAGGGTCAAGGGCAGTGGCTTTACGTCGGCAAATTGGCCTCCTATTTGTCAATGGGTCCTTGACTACCGGACAGCTCGTGAACTCTCACAGTTCCACCTTCACCCAGGAGTAATGGTTCTGGTGATCTGTTAGCTGGAACCCGTTACTTGTCGAAATTCTGGGGGGAAGGGATGTTAGGAGAGACTAGCATGCCACCCAGGGGGAGTAGGAGCAACAAATGCGCTGCTTGTCATTTCATGCTACAAACAACCATGTAACACCAGACTATGCTCTGACAATGTGAGAAAATTTGGCCTTGGAGACTGCTTAAAAAATAAGGTTAAATAATGTTTTATTCACACGTCTCACTCACTTGCTTGTGGGAATTTTGGTGCTCCACCATATCCACCATACTCCTCATCAAAACTTGTACTCATGTCACTTAACAGTTTGTCAATACACTCAGTACTAGGCATGTCTCCTGTCTCGCTTGCCTTGTGCATTTCTCCTGTGTGTTGCTGGATGGCATTTAAAATTATATTTGCCTGCTGAGTCAGTTTGTCTCTGTTTTCTTGCCACTGAAAACACAGGAAAAATACAACCAATAAGGCTCAGATAGGAGCAGAATGAATCAAATTAGAATGTTCTGGGGAAAAATATGTTTGTTTACATTTAAAGGAGGTCTGCTGGTCTCATGGGTAGTGTGCTCGACTCCGGATCAACGGGCCCGGGCTTAAGCCCTGGCTGGGGACACTGTGTTGTGTTCTTGGGCAAGACACTTTACTCTCACAGTGCCTCTATTCACCTACGTGTACAAATGAGTACTGGCGAATTAATGCTGGGGATAACCCTACCATGGACTAACATCCGATCCAGGGGGGAGTAGAAATACTCCTAGTCACTTCATGCTACTGAAACTGGGATAAGCTCCAGCCTGATGGGCCCCTCAGCTCATATGCAGACTCAAACTTTTACACTAAAGTGATTAGGATATAGCTAACTATGGCATATTAACATTACAAAAAAACTTCCCTATAGCTTCTGAAGAAAAGCCAAAAGGCCTGCTTCAAGCAAAGTAACTAGTATAATTTGTTCATGAGCAAACTGACAGTAATGAAAAGAATTTAACTATCTCGTTTATTCAAGTGTGCTAGAAAGCAATACTTTCTTTGAAATCAGGACTTTGAAATCAGGAAGGAAATAGGAAATTAGACCTCTGGGAGTACAAACAGAATCTTTGACTCTGGTGGGATTTTAACCCACAATCTCCAAATAAGATCAGCATTGTTATAACTGCTACTAGTGAACTTGGCACAATCTAGAATGTCAGTCAAGTTAGTCAAGTTGTTACAACTCAGCTTAAAGCCAATGCAATCAAAACAATATTTTAATTAATTTGATAATTTTAGTTGAAAAATTTGTGACCACCAAAATGACTGGCATTATCTTAGATAAATACTTGTGAGCCAAACCTGCTTAGAAATATGGTTGAGAATAGTTCTGAATCCTGGTCGACCGCCAACCTGATCCTCAGGCGGAAAGTATGTGGCACCCACAAAGGGTTTCAAGTCGGGTGTTAGCCACACACTCATAGGCCAGCCACCTCCCCCTGTCATAGCCTGTCAGAACATCAAGCAACAACAATAGTGCTTTATACAATATTATTGTAGTTTTAATTGCACATTATCAGTAGCCTGTGAACAGGCTCTCTAGTTGAGGATGGGGCAAAGAGAAAGCAGGAAGAAAGAGGAGAAAAGAGAAAGGAAGGGCCCCAGCCCCCACCGTATTCCCCACCTCGGCCACTTCATTCTCACCCAGTTCCTTCTCAGCCCTTGCAGCTGCAGTCAGACCCTTACAACCAGAGCCTGTTCACAGGCTGATTATAAGTGGGTGGATGCTTGTGTTGTACATAACCATTTATTTACAAAGTTTTGCTGTCACCATAGAAGACATCACAGTGAGTGAACACCACAAGTAGACATAATTGACTGGAGGAACTTGTCATTAGGGAGGCCTTGGCAAAACAAAACTAACTTCTGCCCCCCACCCCTCCACCCCTTCTACCCTGCCCTTTTACGTTTTGTCTACTCATACATTTTGACTTCTCCATGTACAAAGACCCAGAAACGGGTTTCCCTACCCAGGGCTGGACATTAGCACTCACCTGCTCACCCAGGCGAGTGTCTTAAGTGTTGGGCAAACACAAGTCATTGATCGCTCGCCCGTTTGGCAAGTACGATTTTGTCACCAAGAAATTAATTAAATTGCAAAATAAACACTGTTTTTTACATTCCATTTTGCCGAGAAAATCTTTAAACATAAACTTACCATTTCTATTTTACAAAGTTTTATATTCCAAACTGTCTAATAAATTGGCGCCGAAAGGCAACATAGACAAATATGGCTTCCTCCTAGAAATAATTACATAATGCATGTACTTAAACAAAGTGATACTGCTGGTCACTATCGAGCCATCGGTGATCAGGTAAACATGGCACCCAAGGAGAACAGACACATTTACTCACAAACTGCAGGGATCGGACGAAAATTCATCAAATAAAAAACTACTAATATAAAGAATCTCCAATGTGTTTTCTTAGGGTTTAAAGCTAGTCAAATGTTTCATTGAAGTAATAATCCTCGGTCTGCCACATGCTCGACGTTACAAGCGAATTGTTTTCCTGTTTTCCCAGCACTCTGATCAATGCATGTTCTCCCAGGAAGTTTAAAAGCAGAGTAAACTGATCGCAGCCAAAATGTGGAAATATATTTCTGGAGTTCTAAAGTTGTTGATGAGAAAAAGAACAAAAAAGCCCGAAGAGCTGCCTGTGATACGAGAGAATACGAGGGGAAGGGGTAAACTTTTGGGCGAGTGAAAACTGGTCTGGGCGAGTGCATTTTGAGGATCACTCGCCCGAATGGCGAGTACTGTCAAAATTAAGTGTCCAACCCTGCTACTCTTAAAATCTTGTGAACAACTGAAACATCTGTAGCCACAGGCTCCAGTCTCAAGCTACATTTAAACTCATTGCTATCCTCTCTCCCTCTTCAGAGCCAGACAGTCCAATTTTGGCAAGAACACTGTCCTCTTCAGAATCCTCTCTCCTAAGTAGTTTTCACTATCTCTTAGTACATGATCCTCTTCATCCTCCTCCCTTGTACAACAACAAATCCCTTTATGAGGACACACATTTGTGTGCACCCCTCTTTCCGGGCATAAAGATCTCAACTAGTGACCATTTACAACAGCAATCTCCCCTCAAGAACCTGAATCCAAACATCTTCACTACAGATAACCAACAAAACCACCATGCATTATTTTTGAGTTTGCAAGACATGTTTTGACAGAAATGTCTGCCATAATATCAGTTTAATACAAAATTTTGTTGAAATATTATTTGAATAATATTACATGTAACTTGAATACAGATATGTCACAACAAGTCCAAACATGGCTTGTAAACTTAAAAACATTGTTCTTTATAGTCTTAAAGTGCTACCTGTATGTATGTCATATAGACTTTGTCCACATCAGGCCTTTCTTCTCGGTCCACTTTTACAGAAACAAATTTTTCATTGAGGATTTGTGCAATCTCTTCACTTTCAAAGGATTCTCTCTCCATCACATGGCACCAATGGCAAGTGGAGTAACCCACTGGAAAAGAAAAGGATAAATTTACACATAAGGGAAAGAACTTGAGCTTTAAATCATTTTGGCGCTTAAGGCAGTAGGGTTCTGAAATCTATAGCTAATACTTTGGACTCAAGATGAATAGCTCTGGATTGTGTTCTTGGGCAAAATACGTCGATCTTCTTTCTACCCAAAATATAAATCAATCTTTACAACCCTTCCACTTAAAGCCCTTGCATTAGTAAACACAAACCAGAACAGACAAGATCATTATTTCTAGTGAAATTGTTTGCACTGTACTTGCCCATTGACATGTTTTTCTTTACATGATAAATAATTTCTACGTAGTTTTGTTTTGAACATATTAAATAGTTCTTGATTAACTGTTAGTCGAGCCTCCAGTAAGTGGAATACATTTGGGAACAGAATTAATTAATTAATTAATTAATTAAT